ATATGCAAGAAGAAACACTAATTACTAAATCAGACTCTGGGTTTTAAAAGGCTCTGGGGAAATAAACCAACAAATGGGAAGACAGGGACGTGTTTATTTTCCCTGCTCCTTGTCTGATGTGCTGCACAAAAAGTCCCAGTGTTGTAAAGGAACGTACAGAATTGCATGGAACAGTGGCTTGGGCTTTTATTACTGGGAGGGGGGGAGGGAGGTTGCTAATCTGTTTTCCAAACATGGAGTCTTGACAGGGAATTTGAAAGGTATTAATTGCCATATGGAAAGCATGTTCATGAATGTCTAAGAATGCTGTTGCTATGTGTCCACATCATAGACTCGTTTAAGTTGGAAAAGCCCTCTAAGATCATCGAGTCCAACCATTAACCCAGCACTGCCAAGTCTGCCACTAAACCATCTCCCCAGCTGCCACATCTACACAATTTTTTGAACACTTGCAGGGGTGATGATTCCACCACTTCCCTGGGCAGCCTGTCCCAATGCCTATTCCACTTTTTTCTCTTGACAGTTTTAACACAGTAGTTGACACAACCTGTGAGTCATCTGAAATATCACATGGGGACTCAGTCTGGAATGACTGAAATGTTTTTAATCCCTTTGCTGTCGATTTGTCCTGACTGAAAAATTCTCTAATAGGGGGCTTCTGTCCTCATTTTCTTCAAGTTGACGCTGTTTGATGACTCCCTGAAAATGCTTCCTCTAAAAAGGATCTAAAGTTAAATAAATTTACTTTAGCATTCATGTTTCCCAGTGGTTAGGAGGAGCCATTTCTACTCATTTTCCATCTACTGCCAAGTGTGCTTTCTAGTTTTAAGGTGGTGGTGGGGGGGAACCAACACCTTGTGGGATCCTTGTTTTGTCCTACGCTGAAAGCAGAGGAGTGTAAAGATTGTGTAATACAGGGATAAAGTTGAGCTCCATCCAGCCACAGTGTGATCTGTATCAACGCCAAAGAACAGGCAGAGCATGCTGACATTTGACTGCCATAATGCACCATGCAGGGTCTTCCCCTAACCAGCCATTTGGGGGTTCTCAGCTGAAAAAGGGCTTGGTGGAAACTTCAGAAAATTGCACAAAATTTCTGAACATATTTCCTTGGAACCACAGATTGAGGGTCTTTTCTTCCCCAACAGTAGGAGGAACAGATATTGGTTATTCACACAGGGAATTACTCCAAAGCAGCCCCTGGAAACCAGTCCTTCAGTTTGGTCTGAGGCAAAAGATAGGATTGCTTTTGAACTTCCCCTCAGCTCAGGCTCTTGAACAGCTCCAAGCACAAGAGGGCTTCTACACAGTCTCTACTGAGGACATCTCATCATTAGCTGGTTAAACATCATGTTCTTGTCACCATTAAGTTTTGTTTTAGCAGGATGCCAAACTTTCCAGCACTGCTTTTATAGACTCTTCCCCTTACGTTTAGAAGTTGAGAAATTGCCTGCTACTATTGCTACTTTTTACTTGGGGGTTTTTTTGTACATGCTTATAAATAAAATGTGGCCCTAATATTGAAGAATTACTCTCTTGAGGATTTACTTGGTGAAGGCCAGAGATAAAGGTATTGTTAAGCTCAAAATCCAACTTAGAAAGACCCTATCCACAGCTGATCATCTCAGTACAGAACGATGATGAAATCTGGAAGTCACTGGAAAAATGAAAAGGCTGTGAAATTTTTAAAGAATACAATGGTATTTGATTACTGGAAAAAGCTACTGTAAGGTGTCAGAATGGAAGGCGAGGTTCATGCAAAATACAGGAAAGGCCAATAGTGCAAATATCTAATTTTTCTTAAAAGGCTGTGATGCTCCCTGGCAACCTAAAGACATGCTGTTAGTCATCCCATTAAGTGATACACTTAAAGTGAGCACATTGGGATGAACAAAGCACTGACTTCACCAAGCAGAGGGAAAGATGTTGGAATTAATATATAGACAGACATGGAAAAGAATAAAATGGTGAACACTAGGATGAGAATGCAGAGAGATAAACCTTTTCCTTTTCTTCTGTCCTCAGTCCTACCTCATAAAAATAACAAGCTTTTCTCTTAATAATCTTTTTCTCCTCATTTCCCTTCCAAATTTCAAAAGATTCATAATTAGGAGTCTCTTACACATTTCAGTTCAGGTACTGCCCTTTACACATCCTTACACTGAAGGATAACATTATTATTTAAATTTTATACTTCAGAAATACAGTCTACAATACAATAAAACACACAGTACTGAAAAAGTGGCACGGGAGGTGATCAGTAAAAGCACAGAATACATCAGCTCAAGGGGACCTCTGATTATCTTGAGCTGGCTGGCAAAAATTAAATAGGATTCACGTTACACAGAAGGAATAAATGAAACCCAGGAAATTGCTGCAGTGAATAGACTGGTTTGCTGGTATCAGCTCCTGTGTTCTCTGCACTCCTCACTGGTGACTTGGATGGAAAGGTCTTCCCAGGCCAGCACATCTCACCCACTTCTTTCTATAACAATGGGAAGGGCAAATAGAGGGTTCTGGACATCCCTGGAACGTCAGGATCATTCAGGTTGGGAGAGACTGCCTGAGGACACCCCTCTCAAGGCACAGCCAGCGATGAAGTTAGATAAGGTTCAGCAGTATGTTGCCCAAGCAAGTTTTTAGTATTTCCAGGGGCAGGAATGCCACTCCACCTCAGGGCAATGTCTTCCAGCACCCACCCACTCCTATTGCCAGAGCAGCTTCCCTCACATCCGATGGGAATTTACCTTATGAACACTGGCGGTTCTAGTCCTTTCACTGTGTGAGGAGTGTCTGGCTCCATCTTCTGTTTTTGAGGACGTCAGCGAGATCTGCACCCCCTTCCCACTCCGAGCCCTCTCATTTCCAGACTGCAGTAATGTGGCCCCAGCTGGATTTTGCACTGCTAACTGATACTCCCTGACACAGGTTGTGGTCTGCAGCACAGACTCACAGTCTGACTCTTGATGAGGGGTTTTCACCAACATGTGGGACTTTATGTTACTTTTCAATGTAGCGTGCCTTTCTATTAATTTTTGGGGTTTGAAGTTACATACCTTTGATGAAAAATACTGGAAGGTCTCGACTCAGATAAATTTAGATTTCACTTCTTTTATTAATTTATTCCTCTACCACAAATCACAGTACTCTTCTATTTTCCTCTTCATAAGTAAATAAGGGAACGCCAAGTAAACCTGCCATTACCCTGTCTGTTTTCACCTTATTAGCAATATCATGAGGAGAAAACATCTTCATCTGAGATGGCGACAACAGTTCAGCAATCTACCAGCAGAAAGACAGGTCACAGACAAATTGCTGACATGAGATGTGCTTGGAGGCTCCTGTGCACCGCACTGAGCAGTGCAGAATGTTTTTCTTTCCACATATTTATGACTTATAATACGTGCCAGATCTTGAAACAGGACCATGTAGTTCTGCTGATGAACCGGGGGAATAATGCAGCTCCCTCCCTCGCAACTAGTAATTTTGGATGTTTGCTTCGCATGATTCACTTGGCACTCTTTGCTGCTCCTCATCATGAAAAAATTATTTAAAAAAAAAAAAAAAAAGCAGAAATGGATCATATGTGTAAGTGTTAAAAACATCTCTATGCTTTTCAGAAACAGGGAAACAAGGAAACCAGTAAAAGACACATTTGTCTACCATAAAGTGTCAAAATTTAGAGGAATGCACTACAACTTGATAAACTGTAAACTCTGTTGAAGTCACGACATAAATTTTGTGTAAGTCCACATTGCATATTATTTTCCTTTAGAAAAAGTTTTTGATAATTTCAGGGTGCTTAACTGGCATAACGCAGCTCTCGGTATGTTTAGTGTTACATTTAAAAGCTTTCATTTGTTAAAGTTTTCATGTGTTATTAAAATCATTGCTTAGATGTGGTACAGTTCGTATTAAAGGATAATATTCAAGCTAAACATACAGCTTTTTAACAGATGTTTAATTACAGCAGCTTCTCAAACCCTGAAATCACTTGTGGATCTCATGTTATTCCAGATGAAACTACTTACATACCAATGTGGCTACTCTGGCCCATTATCTTCTCACTTTTTTGGGGCATGATGAAGACAGCAGCACTTTTAGCCAAAAAGAGCTGGTTCCTCATTGCCAGTTTTGAGACAAGCTGACCAAAATAAAACTCTAAACCAAATGGGTAACAGATAAAAACCCCTCAAAGTTTTATACTTTTTCCAAATTCTTTCAACAAAATTTCACCAATTCAAAGTATAACCTCCTACCTGCAGCCTTAACTTTTTCACTCTCTGCATTATACAAGAAGTTGTCCAAGTTAGATTTACTCTCTCTTATAAATATACAAGAATGCAGTTATTTATTGTTCAACTGCTGCTATATGATAGAAAGCACTTGTTCTCACACTCCTCACTATCTATTCATAGGAAAGCTTCAGCTTGGAGCAGAGGTGGAATTCTTCGTTAAAAATGTAAAATCAGTTGCTACTAATAAACCCTTATGGACTGAAATACAGTTTTTATTACGTTACCAGGAATATCAAAGTGGATTTGGTACTTTTTGACGTTATCTTAGGCTTAACAACCTCATGTTACCAACTCTTCTACATCTTCCTGAGATAGGTGAAGCTAAATCATAGTGAGATCAGTCATGAAAAAGAAGAGGGATGCGCCAAATGCTCCTCTCTCCCTTGGTGAAATCCATCCCTTTGCAAGGAACAACCACACTGGACTCAGTGGGACTTCAAGAAGTGTACTGGGCTCATGCTGCTCCTCTGCAGGGAGATTAATTTAATCTTCACAGTGATACTAGTGTTGCCTTCCCTGTGAATGAACCCCAAATGTGTAATTTTACATCATCACCTTGCTTCTCAAAGCCTATTTTCTGGATAAAAAGCTTATATATCTTAAAAAATTTATAACTTAAAACCCAAAAGTGAAGATGGAGGAGTGGAAAACAGAGAGAGAGAGAGAGAGAAAAGACAGAAGGTTACCAGTAACACACACTAAAGATTTTAAATAAATATTTTAATTCTATTATTGGCATTTACAGGTAGAAAGCATACAGTATGTTACAATTTTATCAAAATGTGAAAAATATGGATGTTACATAAGTAACAAATGTAAAAAAAGTATTTTTCTTACCTTCCCTGAAAGTAAGAAAACTATTCAGCATAGGAAAATATTGATATAAAAACACAGCTTAGGTAAAAAAAAAAGAAAATTGAAGTTTTTACACAGTACAATAGGTTCATTAGATCTGAATGAAGATGTAAAGACTTTGTGGGGTTCTATTTTACCTAAAACTTTAGGGAACTGGGGGCAACTGGTAAGCTACATTAATGAATCTACAAGTAGTTTTCCCTCATATCCGCTCCAAAATGCTAGAGTGCAGTAATTTTCTATACAATAAATAATTCTTCAAAGTTTCCATCACAGAAAATCATAGAATGCAGAAAATGCCACTCCAAGGTCACAAAGGCTAGGCAGTGCTTTAATAATAATTATGATAATACTTATTATAGTGCTTTATAATGTCGAAGCACTTCAGACGAGTTAAACTAATTAGTCCTCACAATGCCCCTGTGAGGTAGGGGAGTGAGTGTAGTTCCTACCTTTCCATAGCACAGATGGGAAAACAGAATCAGGGGAGAAGCACAGACTGCAGCAGCAGCACAGCCGAGATGAGAGGCCAAGAGATGTGGGAACTGAGAGGTTTTTGCCTCGCTCCTGCTGCTGCGAGCCAGGGTGCTGGGCTGGGCTGACAAATGCCTGTCACTCCCCTCCCACGGGAAACACTGAGGGGGGCAGGGAAGGACCAGGGTTAAGTAGGCATCCCCAAAAATTCATAGAGATTCAGAAGCTCTCACACAACTTTGTCAAAAAAACAAACCAAAAAAAAAAAAAAACCAAACAAAAAACCAAACTAAACAAAAAAACAACAAACAAAAGAAAGAAACCTGAAACAAACAAATAGACAAACTGAAAAGAAAAAGAACTCCTAAAGTGCTGACTGGCTTGAGCTGCTTCTAGCACCTCTTGTATGGAATAAGACTTACAGCACTGTTGCCAGCAATTATTCAAGCTGCTTTCATCCATAAAGTCACATGTGAGCAACTGCAGGATATGGTAACTACATTTTCTGAGACACCTTACTACTGTTATTCCTTCATTCACCATCTTTCTTCCACACATTTCTTAAGGAAAATTAAATCCTCAATAATCTTGCATCGTAAAACATGTTAGTAGCTGGAGACAATATGCACATCCTTCACAATTAAAACAAAAAAATTAGTTCATTTTCAGAACAAAGCATTATTAATTTAAGAATCACGAACCAAACAATGGGAAATAGGAAACCCTTTCCAAAGGCTGCATGCCGAATATCTGGTTTGCAAATACAATGCATGCAGGAGAAATAAATTCATCCAAGCATAATTAAATTAAAAATGTTTTTAAGTCTCTTTCAGCAGCATAATGGTTATTATTTTTAAAGTCTCCTCCATCCAAACTGGCCTGGGGTTCAGATGCTGACCTCGGCTTTTCTACAACCATATAATGGTTTGACCAGCCCCTGTGGCTTTGCACTGTGGCAATACCAGGAGATAAAGCCTATACATATTGTTCTGCTTCCCCTTCCTTGGAAACAGGCTTCGTTGTACCACCTTTGCCATCTTCACTCGCTGCTGCTGCTGCTGCTGCTTTTTCAGGAAGCGATGCCAAATCTTTGAAAACATCCACATAATGCCCAAAGCCTGGGCCCCAGTTCAAGAGGTTGTCCCAGTTGAAGCTTCCCGCTTGCTGCCCCAGCTTCACGGGCAGGGAGCCCTCCCCGGCCCCGGCTGCCTGTGCCCCCACGGGCCCCCCCTCGCCACGGCGGCCGGGGTAGCGCCGGGGCTTCAGCCTGGAGCCGTAGTTGTCCTCGTCATCCGCATCAGACTCATTGACCTGGGATAACTTGGGCATCCTGGAGGTGTACGTCACAGGCTTATCCCTGTCGTACTCCATCTCCGAGCAGGTGAAGGACTCGTGGGAGTCGCTGTCGGAGGAGGACTCGGGCGCGGGAATTCCATCGGCCGGGTTCCTCGTCCGGGACAGAGGCCTTCTGCAGTCCTCCTCTGAGGAGGACCGGCCGTGGTCCGCACTGCAGATGCTGGGGTTTCTGGGCCGAGGGGTGTTCAGTCTCTCCACCTCTTCAATGGACAGCCCCACTGGAGGAACAGTCTCCAGAGGGATCTGCCCAATGGGCTGCTTCAGGCGGCTTCCCGGTCGGGAGCTGTGGCTCGCCATGGTCTGTGGACTCTTACTTCTCCTCCCCAGTCGAGTGGCATAGTTAAAAATGCCAGGCTGGCAGACATCGTTGTGCGTCTCCAGCGGGCTCCCTTCCCTTATGGCGAGGTGCAGCTCCCTCGCTGGGCTGTGCCTGTAGAACGTCGACGATTTGGAGAAGGGTGCGGGGCTGTGCCGAGACAGGGGGTTGGGGGTAGGGCATGCTGAGTGGCTTAAAGATGTTGTCCTTAAGCCCTGCCCGTAGGCGGGCTGGTAGGTCAAGCTGCTGGCTCCCAGGGGCATGGGGGACTGCCGCGCAAAGCCCAGCGGGCTGTGCCTCTGGATGGAGAACTTGGGCGTGTGGCTCCGAAACTGCTTGTAGTGCTGGATGATGTCAGCGTCCGAGGGGGCGATGCTGCTGGCATTGTCGATGTCGTAGTGCTCGATCTCGGGCTCGGGGGATGCCAGCGGGGCGCTGGGGATCGTCTCCGTGGCGTGTGTGATGTCGGTTTCATCGTAGATGAGATACGGGTTTTCTCTTTCAATGATATCGGGTTTTGGGTTCCCTTCAGGCTGCTTCCTGACAGTCATGTCATCACCGTAGGGCGGGATGTTGTCAGGGTCATCAAACGCCACGTTCTCACTCCCCTTTTTCTTCTTCTGCTTTGTTTTCTTCTCCTCTTTCGGCCCTTTTGACTTCTTTCCTCGGCACTGGTTGCAGAGGATGAGGCTGAGGACCAGCAGCGCCAGGACCGTCGCGCAGCTGCCCACGATGGCCGGCACGGCCCAGAGAGGGAGGGACAGCTCGGTGGGGTGTGGGGACGGGAGGCAGATGTGGCCACCGTTGATCCCTGCTCTGCACTCGTGGCCAGGGGTGCACGAGACCCCCAGGCAGGCCACCACCGTCTCGCACGTCCGTCCCGCGTACGCCTCGGGGCAGCTGCAGGTGAAGCTGCCGAGCGCCGTGGGCTCGCAGCTGCCTCCGTTCTGGCAGGGGCTGGAGGCACAAGCTCCCGGTGGGACGCACTGGTAGGCATACCAGCGGTTGATGCACATCAGCTCTCCCCAGCAGGGACTGCTGGCGCAGATGTTGGGGCCGCGGCAGCCGATCTTCACCGAGGGGTCTGTTTTGGAGAGGGTGGCGAGGCTGTGCTTGCCAGCGAAGGGAAGGCTCTCCCTGCCATACTTGATGTAGGAAATGCAGCCATCAAAGCCTAGGAAAAAAAGCAACGGTCACGTCAGGACCTGAAGACTGAGTGTGCGCTGTCAACAGTGCAGTACAGGCTCCACTGTTCACCAGACAAGCCAGGAATTCAAATGGTTACCATAGGAAAACATCTACTCTAATAGTACTTAATGTAAATTGAATTTGTACAAATATGCCTACTAGTGACTTCATTCAATATACTGAAACATCTTTGTTTCCTTATTTTCCCACATTTATGAAACTTCCTATCATCCCCACAGAGAAACCTGTGTACAGCTGGCTCAGCTGTTCTAGCACCAAATATTATCTGGATTTGCATATCATGCTTTCAGCTAAACCTCCTGCTTTACTGGCTCCTACATTCACAAGAATACTTTTGGATCTCTGAATCTCAAGTGACCTTTTCCCAAACTTCCCACACCCCAGTTGTTGCGCTACTTTTCAATGAATGTTAGTGCTGTGAGACCTCAGGGAGATGGAATTATCCCCAGGCTCGGTGGGGTGGTTGCCTGTGAGGTTGCAGGAAAATCCAGCCTTTTGCCAGTCTTATAATTCTCTGTGTTCCCCAGACTTAATCCTTTCTTCAAGGGTTTTAAGGCAGTGACACTTTATGCTGATCTCTGCTTGGAGCTGTGGCAAAATGGTACACAGAGATGGGTTCCACGGGTTTACTCTGTCATGAAATAGCATACTGGAGTCATATGAGATGATATCAAAGGTTTCTAATCTTCAGAATTAAAGATTTAGGTTCAGGTGGGAGCCAAAGCAAAAATGGTGATCACCTTGCTGCACAGTTGGCCGTCCATTGTAGCAGTGATTTGATAAACAGCAATGGGGAATTTAGTAGGTTTGAAAACGTTATTGGACACACAGCTTCACAGCCCTGGAACTGCCACCCATCTATGTTTTTGCCTGCCTTTAACAGTACTGCAGATATTTTTGACTCTGAGTTCATGCAGAGTTTTATACCACCCCCTTGTAAATCCTTGGTATGTCGTACACAATGTAATCCAATATTAAATAAAATAAAATCATATGAATATGAAATTTTGGATTGTGTGTTCTTAATGGAAGCCAGACATTCCTAATTTGTCTGCCACAGCGTTGGGCAGTGGTGAGAAGTTAGTGTCCTCAGTTTTCTTTGTTCCAGCTTTCCTACAAGCCTCTGATTTTTCCATGCACATGCTGCTCATAAAACATACACGAAGAAAGGACAGAGGTCATCTCAGCGTCCATATGATTTCATACCACATTTCAGACAAATTCACAATACACAAGTGTAAAGTGTGAATTTGCTCCGCTCAAAAATACTTTATCTGGTCACAAATCATGAAGCCAGGAACATTTTTTGATATAAAAACTCTGTGAAACCTACATGTACATTGTCTGGAGTATCTCACGTTTTGCAGCTAAAAATCACTTCCATCTTTACTTAGTACTGAGGGAATGATATCAAATATGTGTTATTGACTTCTTTTGCCAGGGTTTAAGACAGTTGATTTAACTCTTAAGGGAGACTGATTTACTTCTTAACAGCTAGATGTTGGTCAGAGGGTGATTCCTTATTGTCCTTGGTTTCTGTTGCTCAGAAATAAATCCTATTCTTCATTTGACAGCAGCATAAAGCAGGAGGAAGGTGGAGTTTCAGAAAATATTTTAATCATATTAAGAACAGGTTAAATACTGCAGTACTTACCAAACCCCTACAGAGACAGTTTCCATTCAGCATTTTTTCTAAACGAAAGCTTTGCCTTGGTTTTACAGATTCTGACCCAGGTAAAGAATAGATCCTTTTTTTTTTTTTTTCTCCATTAGGATAACAAAATTATAGCACTGATGTACAGGCAAGCAACCAAAGTCACCTCCCTGTCTCCAAAAAGCCCTGCAGATGGAGTGCCTGCTTTTGGAAACAACAAGCCTGCAGTATGTATTGAAGGGACAAAGTCTGTAACCCTTACTCATTCAATTTGCACTTTTTCTGGTCAAGGATGGATGTGTACTATTTGCTGATAAAGAATTACAGTACATTGGGTAACCTTAAAGCAAACAGAGCCTCTTTGTTCAAATGTGCTTATGTGCACTATACTAAAAAATCAAGCGAAACAAAAATTACCTGCAACTGTGCTCTTGAAAGGTTGGCTTGATGGAATTCCTCCCAAAGAAATGGTAAGGACATTTAGGCCCCCAAAGTCTTGGGTGGCGTGGAGAATGTCTCGGCTGTGGGTCTTGTCGACCGACAGGATGGTGGCAGACCCGTTCTTCTCAAGGAGGACCGAGTGCCACTGACCATCTGCAGTGTACACCTCGGGGATGTTCCGTTCCACCTTCCCAGCAACTCCAGCGTCCGATATGTAATGCACTTTCCCACCTTTTATCTGAGCAGAAGAACACATAATGGATAACTTTAAAATGATATCACATAACAGCTCCTACACACACATCACCAACGTGATGTTTATTCAGCACAACTACAGTAACATGTGGCTTTGGCGCAACAGAAAGCTGGGGTGCATTTTCCTCCAGATAATTCTTTTGTACTAAAAATGCATTAATCATTTAGTACTAAAACTTTGGCCAGAATTTAATACATCACATTAAATACATCCCATCTACATCTTACACTCATTCCCTGCCTAATACCATGAGAGAAAAACCTTCTGAGAAGCCAGCTATAGGACATGCACGTGACAAAACTTTTTAACCAATAAAATAATAGTTCTTCCTCCTTCTTCAAGGCAAGTGTGAAAAATGCTTTGCAGAGTGAAGAGAATGTCCTTGCCCAAAAATCTTGCATCTCATTTTCATTATGACACAATAGGAATGTATAAGGCAAGGCAAGAGTCCCATTTAGTATCTGTTTTTTCTGCTAATTTGTATTTTGTAGGAAACCAGTTGTATTTCAGAAAACCTGAAAAGTTGCAAAGTGCCTTATTTTGGGCAAATTTTCAAATGGTGCTTGTTTGAGCAAAGTGCTTTAAAACTTGTGAGCTGTTAGGAAAAAAAAAAAAAAAAGAACATTTTGGCTTTTCCTCTAGGAATGACGCCTCACAATTCTACTGAATCATGAGATGCAGGATTTCAAACCTCTTATTACGATCCCAAAATGAGATCAGTGCAAATTCTGCATTTAAGATCTAGGAGCTTAAAAAGAATCCCTAAAATCCAAGCCTGCCAGTTTCTCAAATATTGCATAAATTTGGGTATGTCAGCTGATGTCCTAAGGGTGTACAGACTTGTGGAAGCTCATACGGGGTGGCTCCTGTTGCAAGTTTCTTTCTATGCTCTGCGTGTTAAATAAAACAACTGTTTTCCACCCTGTGTTCCTCACTGCAGCTCTCTCAGTGCTGTGACCTGTAACACGAGCGTGCAGAACGTGCACACACACACACAGTCCAGCAAAGCCCCAGGTTTGCTGAAAGCCCTCAAAGCCTTGCATCCTTTGTTCCAGGAAAAATAATGTTCACCTGGGAAGAACTGTGAGGTGACACACCGGCTCCAAGAATGCTGCTCTCAATTCCAGAAACTGTTAAACGTTCTGGATTCGCTTCTTTAGTGATGCAAGCTGAGCACTTTGTTCAAACACTTCTGAGCACTTTGTTCATACACTTCAGCTTTAATGCAGCTGTAAGGCCACGCTCATGTCTTGGCAGCAGCCTGAATGAATGCATCCAGCACGTATTCATTTATAAATGCAATAATTCGGATTATTTGAAAACGGATCGTTTGAGGGTCTCTTTGACAAAGCTGCCCCCGGAGACAGGATGCTTTTGTTACTGGCAAACACGAGTGGCATATGTTAAACTATCACACAGCCCCCAGAAAATCCCACTTTTCAAAATGCAGCAACAAAGACTATTGTAACATATTATACACCATTTTCCACAATCGCTTATAAAAAGATTAACTGAGCTGAATATATACACATATTTATGTCTGCAGCCTATAATTGGATCGTTAGTCTTATCTTGTCTTTTATGCTCCACAAAAATACCTCCTTGTATTTTGGTCTTTATGTAAACAGAAAGAAATACACCATATCAGACAACACCCTCCAATCTTAAGGGAAGACAGTACAGAGTGGTAACTTTTAATTTCACTTTAGAAAAGAACTGTAGAATTATTTACCTGTCAGCAACTGATATTTTCCATACTGCAAATATGACTCTTTATTTCTGTTTCTTTAAAATTGCATGTGACTAAAGCTAACAGACTCATAAATAACATACCAGGGGCATTTGGAAAAGAAAATTTCCAGAGACAAGACTGGTCCATAACTTCTTCAACCAGGAAAAAATAAGGAATGTTCTTCTTAGTTCCTTGAAGCAGAACATATTTCTAAATTTGAAACAAATGCTGATGCTGACAGTATTGAGAAACACCCATTTCTGGGTTTTATTTAAATGGCTGAGCAACTGAAAAGTAAAATATAATGAAAAGAATGAACCACTAAAGCAAACATATTCCTAACTACAAGGATGATTCAGCTGTACTAATATTCCAAGTCCCATTTAGCGAACAAATTGTTTTTAATTTGTCTTAAAACTGAGCACTAGCCCTTACAGATCTATAGCTCACTGAATGAGATATCATTTAAAAGGGTTATGTTCTGATAAAATCCTGCAACTTGACATGTGCACAGAATCGTAAAATGGTTTAGGTTGGAAGGGACATTAAAGATCACCCAGCTCCAACTCCCCTGCCATAGGCAGGGACACCTTTCACTAGACCAAGTTGCTCCATCCTGCCTGGACTTGAACACCTCCAGGGATGGGGCAGCCACAGCTTTTCAGGGCAACCTGTGCCAGCGTCTCACCACCCTCACATATGAGTATGTCAGCTGTAATCTGTAATCCACATTCTCTACCCTTACAATTCATGGATCTTAGAACTCCATTTATGCTAATTTAATCTGATTTCAGATGAGATTTCCAGATAAAGCAAGACAGGCAATTTCACCTTTAACCTGCTGTATTTATCCCATTATTTCAAATTGAATTGCTTACAATGTGTATTTGTAGGAAAATAAGATGTGACAAGGAGCTTTAGTAATAATAAGGAAACCCCCACTTTCTTCCTTGCTGTGGGTTCTGGAGGAAGCATTTTCCATCTTAATTTGACCATTATTAATGTAACCTGCAAAGGTTTGTATGTGTCTTGCATTAAGGATCCTTTTATATCACAAAGCTCTCTCTTGGGTTCTTTGTGAGGAGTTTACATCCATCATTTAGTGACTCAACTGCTCACAGTCTCAGTGGGTCTCATTTATTACCACTTCTCTGATTTTACCCCAATCCCAGCTACATCAAAACCAATTAACTACAATAGGAAAAATGTAAAGGCATAGAAGTAGCCACAGGACTCATAGCTTTTCCCTAGCACAATTTAATATCAAAGGTGTTCTCTTGAGTGTTCATGCTGTGGACTACAAATGTATTAAAAGACCCAAAACCCAAGTGACAAAATTATCTGTTTTGAAGACTGACAAGAGCTGTAAACAGAAGTCCCTTAAGCTCAACTTCTGCACCAGGGGTGGACTGCAATGTCATGTGGGTTGGCTTCACTGGCATCATCGGCCACCACTGAGGGAAGTACTTGTCGTGATACCTACTCTGGGTACAAGCAGCAGTGCAGAAGCCACGCTGTACTAACTACAGTTAAGTTACAATAGTTTTACTAACTAGCATCATCTGGGATTTTTTTTGGCAATAACCAGCACGCTGATGTTACCTCTCCTTCCTCAAACTTCTGCATCTGTTACGAGGCAAACCTCTGCTCTTTGCCCTTGCACAGCTGGGTCTGGGACTTGACACCCTCAGCTTGCTTGTATAACTTCACCAATATTAACAATAATCAGAGTGTTTGCATAAACACAGCACTAGTGCTTTCAGCCAGGAAAGACAACTCTCTCTTTTTTTTTTAATAATGCTTGTAGAGCTCACCTAGCAAATGCTACTAAGGAGAAAAAGGCTTTTTCTCTCCAAAACTCAGAATAATGAGATCTTATCTACTAATACGACCGAGGCAGAAACTTCCTATGAAATGATGTGCTAAAAGCATATGCCAGGGAAGTAGTGCATGCTTGCTTCTTAAACACAGTCGGTGTGTGAGGAAAGCTCTGTACCTCTGATCAGGCAGGTGGAGAATATCCATGGGGCTGCAGCTTAGAAAGTGTGAATTTCTGTATGAATTTCTTTAGAAGTCAGAGAAAAAAAAAGCAACTTGGAAAGCCTTAGAGCAGTCAAGGAAACTTGGAGCTTACACCAACCCAATAAAGGGGCTTGCCAACATCACTGCTGTACTCATTTAGAGTTATGAGTAAATGGACTGAGTCATAGCCAGGAACTGAACCATCGCTTTCTCTTGAGAAAGGTAACTTGTGCAGCAATAAGCTCTTTGATAGAAAAAAAAAAAAAAAGCAATCCAAAACAGTGTAGCATTTGAAGCACTAATTCAGCTATGTATCTCAAAATAATTCAATATTGACACTGGTCTATGAGTAACCTCATGAATTCAAGTTATCCCTCACTTCCTAGTTTGATAAGCATGAGCCATGTTAGTAGGAATTAACGAAAACTTTTTGGCAATTGCTTGCTAGCTTAAGGAGGGTCTGGGTTCAAGGCTCAAAAAGTCAGAAGATAAAAGGCCAATAGCAAAATGATTTGTTTTGTAAAGTGTAATGATGATAATAACCATGGCAATGAGTATCGTTCTTGCTGCCTTAAAACAGTCACTATTTAAAGTCTAGACAAAACTGATTAGATACAAAACCATCAAGATCTTCTGATACCTTGGCGAACAGCAAGGGAATTGTTGAGAAGATGAATGATACTGGAGCAGCGCCGAGGCTCAGTTAAAGACCCAATATTTTATAAAAGAAACAAGCAAGAGTAATGGAAAAACACGATTTTGATCCCTCCGCACGAGGCAGCCCAATCAAACCAAACTCAGCATTAGCTGTAATCTTACCTTCACGGTAGTGAAGTTGCTGCTTTCTTGGACGTGAAGTAAAACACCGTTCTCGCTTCTTGTCCTGAACTTCACTTCCAAGCGTTCCACATTCGGGGGGGGTCCCACGCCGGCGCCTCGAGCTCCCAGTCTCATCATGTAGTCTCGCTTCTTGTTTGGGCTCATGTGGTAGTCGAGCCGTCCTTTGCCTTCCAGCGACAAGGCGGTGTCAGCAGTGATATCTGGGATAAGGACAGGGACATACTGAGTATGCAGCTCATTACAGCTCTAGCCATCATCTGCCTCGTAATGACCATTTTCTCTCAGAGCACAGATCAAGTTCAGAGCAGGTCAGGGGGGAGAGCAGGACTGAATGGCAATTGCAGCCCCTCTATTCTTTGGCTTCAACCAGAATGTGTATTTGAGAGTGGGAGTGTGCGAGTAATTTACTGCTGCTATCAGTCAATAGTAAATTAAAACTCGCTAGGGAACAAGTGAGGGAGTAGGGAAAAAAATTTGGCTCTCAGAACAGCAATTCCTTCCCAGGGATGTTACTCTTTCCATTACTGCAAGCAGAGTTTCATGATATATTGAACTCTAAGCTCTTCAGGGCAGAGATAATAACTTTCTATTTGTTATGGCATAAAAAAGTGAATAAAAAATGGCAGAGCATTGACTACCAAATGCTGCTAAAATTATGGCTGAATTCTTTTGTAAAACGGCACAATAAAAACATATAAATCAGCTAAACAATAATGGGACATGTAAGAAAACAAAGCCCAGTCATTACACTACAACTACGGGGAAATAAATCACTTCGCTCTCTTAGACAATCCCATATTGATTTACAGAGCTATTCCTATGAGAGTTTATCACCCTAGAGTGTAAATGCCTTGTTTGCATTTACATTTACTATATTTTCTTGCATATAGTCTATGATCAATTTCATTAAAAAGATTTAGTTGGAGAGGCCATAAGCACATGAACACAATGTTTACATGAAGGGGTTTTCACTTACCCTCTTACCTCCCCATGGCAGACAAATCCCTCCTGTGGTATACCTTTATTTTAGTTATGCATTATACATTATTGGGAATCAGGAGTTTTAAATGAGTGCAAGTTACCTTGAAATGCAATCTACAGACCAGAAAAAATGATGCACTTAAGTTGTGGCTATTTTTAGCTCATGAAAGGACAATAGTCCATTGTGGACTTTTCCTTCAAAATTATTTAAGAGGCAAGCATGCTGCTTGTTCTCATTATTTTATAAAATTCATTATCCTATGGCCCTGAAAAGAAACTTCTAACTGACATTTGGTTAAGCCATAGTTAGGCGTATATTAAAGAGGAAGACAGCAAAAGAAAAACCTCCTCCATACATTTTTCACAGTGCTTTCCTGTCAGTCCATCCTTGCAGTGACACTGCTGCCACGACCAGTGATCGACACAAGTCCCACCGTGTTGGCAGGGGCTGGTTGTGCAAGCACCTTCCAGTCTGGGACACCTGAAAGAGAACAGAGAAATAGATGCTGAAGAATGTTCACATAAACTAGCAGAGAAAACATGCTGGGAAGCATCCTGCATTTGAATGGTACTCCTTCCACCTAGAGATGCAAAAATCTCTCTTTTCCCCATCCCTGGAAGTGTTCAGGGTCATTTTGGCTGGGGTGTTGAGGAACCTGGTCTAATGGAAGGTGTCTATGGCAGGGGAGTTGGAATGAGGTGATCTTTAATTTTTCCTTCCAACCCAAACCATTCTGTGATTCCAAGAATCTCCACAGACAGTTCCTGTTTCAAAGCAGAGCCCAATTTTCAGCGTCGAGTTATAACAGGCTTACAAAAGAGAAAAGAATTCACTGACAGCCAAACTCCTATAATCTGTTACACCAGAGAGCAGAACCTCTTTTAGGTGCTTTTTATGCTGCACGCTGCCAGAGACTCTGTATCAAAACGAGCAGCACAAACCTGGGTGTTGAAAGAGGAAGGGTGAGCTAGGAAATTTGGATGGAAGACTGACATTATTGCTACGGCCGTGACTTCAAACACTGAGCTGGAAAAAACAGCAGAATCAGATAGTTCATCATTTCTAAAAGACAACCCAGAGGATATGAGGGAAATTCAGTGATACTTGAGAGGTAAAGTGGTAGAACAGACATTGTGGATTAAAACAAAATAAAAGGGAGTAGAAGGTTAGCAAACAGTATGAGTACAGTCAAAACCAGGTGGAATTTATAAAGAAACCCAAGAACAGGGCTACTCAATTTCAGCCTGCAAAGCAACTTTAATAATCATTGGCAATAGAAATATAATGATGTTGCTTTTTTGAAGCCTCTGTAATCTTTTGTGAACCTTTCATCCAAATTCCCTTTCTTCCTATATTTTTCCCACTTCAAAATAGATTCTACAGTAATTTTTTTTTTTTTACAAGAATCCCTGACAGCGTCTGAATGGAATAGCATCTGATTTTCATGACAGCTTGCTTTACTGTAAACACGGTCCATTTGATACCACGCATAGCAGACGTACTGATCTAAAATTCCTTGAGCTGCCAAAGCCTGGCTGGGCTCCAGGGGACGTCCGTTGACTGCAAACTCCATTATACAGCCCACAAAATCATGGCTTTCCACCTGTCCTCTCCTCTGAAGGATGGGCTCTATGGACCTGATGCCACCAACAGTAACTCGATTTGGTTGTACATCCAGAGTCCTATAAAAGAGTTGGAAAAATAACTAATCAGTATCAGGCATTAGGATAGCGATGACAACACATGAACTGCAACCATCAGCTACAGTCTGAGAGTAAAATTCCTCTTCCAAAATTTCTATTTTACATTTAGAAGGGGACACAGAGAGATCAAAAGCACTTGAACTAACAGTTAAAGTGGATATGACTCCAAATTCGCACTCAGCTATTGCAAGTCAAAGTTTCTATTCAATGGACTGAACAATGTGCTTGAGATCATAACGAATAAAGCTTTTTACTCAATTATCATTTAGATTGTAGATGATATTTAAATACCTGGAAGAAAGACTCATTGTTTTACAAAGATATAGCACCTCTGCTATCAGGGAAAACGCGTGTGATTATTGTAAGAAATTAGCCAAAGTGACTGGAATAAAAGTTATTGTTATCGCCAAAGATGCAACAGAAAGGTCATGTAATTAGTTATAATAAACAGCAGAAACAAAGTTTGTTTTTTTTACTGGCCAATGCTTGCAAACTGAGAACTGCAAAAGAACACCAGGAAATTACTGAAAACAATGACAAAATAATTACTCCCAGTATTTTTTTAAAGACACCAGTAATCATGTGATGTTATTTCTTACATCTCTATAAGAAATTAGAGGCGCAGTTCAAAAAAAGAAATGAATACATGACTCCAAATCATTAGGCAATAGATCTTACTCCCTCTTACACCACAGTGCAGACTACCCATGGCCATACATTTCCTGAGTGCCACCACAGCCTGGGGATAGAAATGGAGTCAAGAACTGAGGATTTCCAAGCAAATCCTTTGCTATCATCAAACTCCATGCTCAAATATAGCCTGAACCAGCAAGCAAGCAGCAGCACATAGAAAAAACTTAATTTGCTTGGATGGAAGAAAATGACACTTGGGAGCCTTATCATTACTCCAAATTTCTCCGGCTTTACAGAGAGATTTTTTTTTTAATTTTAATTAAAAAAACCAAAAACCCAAAACATCCAAAAGACAAACTAACTCCGCAAAATGAAGAGTTATTTACCAGTCAGTTGAAACAGCAACATTGCTAACAGTGCAGTAGCCTGGCTCCTGATCCTCAGAGCAGGAATCCACAGTCAGGGATGCTGCCTGCAAAAGGCACACACAGAGATATGCTGAATATTACATGGCTGTACACCCCAACCACAATAAATATTTATGCCTGTAGATCTTATATCAAGGACTTGGCTAGAATGGAGCACTTGTACCAGTCCAGCAAACATGGAGGTGTGGATTACTAACAGAGAGGGTGCCAATTGTCTGCTTCATACAGAGAGTCAATTAAACACCAAGTTTTCAGATTTGGGTAGAGTTTCTTTGGTATTTGTTTGCTTTCCTCCTTGAAACTGTAGTTATTTTGGCTTGTACCATATCCTACCTGTGATATGGTTCAGATAATCTGAACAGAAAGCTACTCTCTCCAAACACAGAGGGTGTTCCTTCAGGGGCCTGACTGTGACATTAAACATATTGCTTGAACTGGACAAGAAGCATATTACAAAAGCTGGGAGTAAAAACACCGAAGTTACTTGTTAAAAATAAATAACCAACCACTCAACAGAACTCAAAAAGTAACCAAGTGGGCCTGGTTAAGGTAACCCTTAGGCTGATAGGTCATGAGGGATGAGGGATCTCCATTTTGATAATGGAGAAGCATTTGGACACCCACAGTGGGACCAAGCAGATGTTTAGAGAAGTACCAGGCGTCATCAGTGCTTAGAGTAGTCTTACTCTATATTATTATTACTATTATTATCATCTCCAAGCCATCAAGTCACAGAAAATGAGGTTGCCTCAATCTGTTCTAGTGGAAGGTTTCCCTTCCCATGGCAGGGGGTTGGAATGAGATGATCTTTAAGGTTTCTTCCAAGCCAAGCCATTCTATGATTCTGTGATTACCTATCTAAATAATTTACAATAAAGCTACTCATGGCACATCTATTTGTAATCTCTAAAAGTCTAACCAAAGCTGTCACTAAAATCATGAAAAAACTCCTGCTGATTTAAAAAGGAGTTTTTATTTTATTCCTTATTTAGCAAAGAATTGTCCCCACAGTGATTTATTAATAACAGATGCACTGAAAAAAAAAACAAAAACCAACCCTGAAGGTTAGTTATTCCTTAAAACAAATTTTCAGAAAAATAAACACAATCTCCAAATTGTACTTATCAGCTCCTCATGTTTCAACTATATGTGTGGTATAGTTTTACAGCAAATTTAAATCAAACGCCACCTTTAAAAATGCCTGGGTTCATATTTTGCTTTAGATTACTCTGTAGGAGCCGAGCAAACAGCAATAGCTATCAGTACGTCATTACTCTGCAGAGGTTTTTTTCTACTGCCTGCAACAAAGTTCATTAACAACAGCCTATTGAAATCCCTACAGATCGTCCGTGCTATTTCCAAATACACACTGCAAGCTGACACACTGTATTGACCAAACAAATTTGTAGCTTTTAGCCCTATAGGACGCCTAAATTGTTTAATTTGCTATTTTTAATGAAAGCTTATCTTGAATTTCTTTCCATACATAATGAGCAAACTGCTTCTCCCAAGAAATGTCAGTCCGCAGTTCCAAAGCAGATTATGGCCCCGTATAAATGAAACAATTCACAGAAAGAATAATAAGCTAGCTGCTCTGTATGCCATCACATGCGTACATATTTTCCTTCAGAACATTAACAACAAAAACTGAAATGAGTTTTTTGTTCTTAGCTCAATCAGCGTAATCTCCCTAACTTACATCGCTATGCACTGTGCAAGCCAAGCTCCAACCCCAGCTGAAGGGCTGGATATTTGAGAATATATTTTCCTTGGACCAGAGTTCATACAATTTATTTTCTAATGTTAGTCAAATGTTCCTGCTTGTTACTTAAGCATTACTCTACAGTTACCTTGCTGCATTATGAAACTTTCTGTCCTGTCACTCTGCAATAGCTCAGGACTGACAACTTAATGATTTTACCAGTTTCCGATAAAATCCCACTGTGCTGTAGGAAATGACAGATTTGGAATCCTGAAGGGGGGGGGGAGGGGCTATTTTATACAGTTTTGGACACCTGGGAGACATTTTTCCTGCAGCAGAAATATCTAAGACAAAGGTGATTCTTTTCACATACTGTGTTTGTAAACAGCTGACATTACTGAAAAGGTTTAAACATTAAAAAAAAAACAAAAAAATTCAGACAAAGGTATGGGTTGTCTTAAATGTTTTCTTTCAGCCTGAAGCATTCATAGCTGAAATTTTCTGTAACTAGTCCTGTTTATGTTATCTCTTTTTCTATAGTCCTCTGGCACATTGACAAGTAAAACATTTTCCTGTTCTTTTTTTTTTTTCCTTAAGTGTACTTTATTTATTTGTTTCAATTTTTCCTGTGTGCTCCTATACTTGGGCACTCAAATCCTATTTATAGAAATATCGTGCTACTTTAGTTACTAAAATGGGAACCTGGTGCTTTTCAAGATTAAGGTGCACCTTTGGGCTTTACCACTTGGAACCTGTGATATAAATTATTAAGTATCTGATATCAAGGCACGTTAAACCAAAGTCACTGATCAGCATCACAATTATCCTTCATCTTATTTGAACATATAACTCCAACAAACACAAAAAAAATGGAAAAGACCTTTAAGACTACAGCTATTAACCCAGCACTGTCAAGTCCACCACTAAACCATGTCCCTAAATGCCACATCTACATGTCTTTTAAATACCTCCAGGGATGGTGACTCAACCACTTCCCTGGACAGACTGTTCCAATGACTGACAATCCTTTCGGGGAAGCACTTTTTCCCAATACCCAATCTAAACCTCTCTTGCTGCAACTTGAGGCCATTTCCTCTTGTCCTGTTGCTTGTTACTCGGGAGAAGAGACCAACACCCACAATAAATAGAGATATCAGGTCTTGCACTATGAACTGAAATGAAGTTTCAGGCTCCAGATTCTCTTATGAGAGAACAAAACCCAGACCATAAGGAAATAAATCCCTCTGCTGTTCTCAGGACATTTGTGCCTATGGACATCTCACTTCGGACCTGAAGCCCTTCAGCAACAGCAACTTCTTCTGCAGCAGTTCCTGATGGGTAATCTCTACAAGGACTCAGAGGGAGCCATGCTGGCTAGAACAGTTTATTGTTTTTTTATTCCCTACATCACTTCTAGCTTGAAATATATAAAACGAAAAGTGGAGCCCCAGACATATATTACTCTTAAATGACTTTAAATTCAAACATGGGAAGAATATGGGATTCCATTTCTGTCTGAGAAGGGAAATGTTGGGCAATAGTTACCGATTATGGATGGCAAATAGATTTGGTTTCATTTCTAACTCAAACACTGTGGAGTCAAAAAGCTTGGCTTGAATTCAAAGAGCATTTGGTTTATGTTCTGCTTTGGAAATATTAAAAAAATTGGAGAAGAGGAATAGAAAACATTTACTGGAGAAAAAAATGAAGGCAGGAGAGGGGTCAGAGTATGAGGTATATGGCAATCAGTTGTCCCAGTCTCGTTTTTGGCATAGCTTCTTCCCCTCAGATGCTTTCTGGGGGACAAAAAGGAAAGTAACTTCCCTCCTTCCCGCCAAAAAAGTCTCATAACGCAGCACCTTTAACTTTGTACACGTATGCTACAGAGGAAAACCAGGCTCCTACTCTGATGAGATTGGTAAAATCTCTGAATTAGCTCAAGGAGGTCAGGGAAGCCTGGAATTTTAAGTTTGTACGCTTCTGTTTTCCAAATGCGGAGAAAAATTATTTTGAGGCTTTTTTGTAGTTACTATGGTTAATTAGCATTCCCTGATAATCATCCCTGTAATCTGCACCAGTTAATTAGCCTCATGCGTAGTCATCTATTTCATTAATTATTCCTGGTTCTCATTTTTCACACTGAGAGGTAAGGGCACAGCACATGTTTTTTTAATTATACTTTATCTTCATCATACTAAACAAACACCATAGGGCTTTGAGTCAGTTTGAGTAAGACAGAAAGGAGGGAAGTATTTCCCAAAGCTGGAGGTTCTGCTAGCAGGCACAACGTTACTGATTTTACGTTCCTCTGAGTGCACATGGAAGCCAAAGTGATTTGGCTGAACTTGCCTTAATTCCTCATTTGAACATTGCTTACCATTCCAGCCCTCCTGGCAATGACTGTGTGGAATTGTCCATCAGACACCCTCTTAGCTGTGGTAAGCTTGTATGTGCCACTGCCAAGGTTGTAGGAAAATCTCAGCCTTTCTTCTGCTATTTCCAGGGCCAGAAATTCTGCCCTCTCTCCGGTTTGGTTATCGTAGTTATACAACAACAAGGCGTTACTTTTTATAGTGGCAAACTTTATATAGATGTAATTATTGTTTGGATCCATACTGGGAAACTCCATGTACGACAGCTCTTCAAATCCATAGCTGTTCAGTTCACAATGATTCCCAAAAACACCTGTCAAAACGAAAACCAAAATCTGGAATCAGAGAGGTTTTTTTCCCCCCACTAAGCATTCTCCCAGAAACAAAGTGGAGATGTGCTCTCAACATGGCTGTGACACACAGGCACTTTAAGGAACTCCAACGTATGATTAAAAGCATACAGCTTGAACAGAAGAATGCTGTTATCCACAGGTGGGTGTTGAGCTACATATATTTAAACTTAAAAATCAAGTCACAAAGGACAGATATGTCTTCTGAAAAGCAAAGTACATTTCATTGAGCCCTCTGGTTTCTTTAGTAAACAGAAAAACAAGCCAGTTTGACAGCTATGTCAGATGTTGTTAATTACAATCAGGCATTTATTAATCCAGTTATGGAAATGAACTTGCATATTGATTTTATTTTTCTTTCTCTAGCTGTTATCTGAACTTTTTCTCACTGGGTGATTCATTTTTTAGACTTATGATAAAAGCATGTGGGTGATTTAAACGTTACGCCTTCTCATGTTTTTATTGATGTAAAGATTTTGGTGCATTCTACATCTTTCTTTTCAGATCTCTGTCACATCATTTCCTTTTTTTTTTTTTTTTTTTTTTTTTTTTTTTTTTTTTTTTTTTT